CGATAATCGAGAGAATTCATCTGTGAATTTCAAGTCATTAGTAATTTTTACAATATTTTCCAATTCATTTACTGCATCCTGTAATACACTAAGTCCACAACGTTTAGAAATCAATTTTACTTCTTTGATTGAATTTTCTAATGTTAATTTGACTAATGATTCATATTCTTTTGATATATTCATAATAACGAGTTGTATTGTTGTAGCTTGTAATAATGAATATACTGGAAACAGAAAGTGATAAAATGCATCAGCGTCGAATTCTCGAGTTGTTTTTGCAATATCAATAATTGCGATAGCTGAATTGAGACAAATTTGAATTGGACTGTGTTGTAATGATTTATGATTTTGATTTGTATGTGGTTGAGGTATTGGTATATAGAGTTTATGGACAAGAATTATGCAAGTATGAAAAAGCATATTTATAAATCCTAATTAACAATAAAAATTATTATAAAGATATTCAAATTATAAATATAACACGATCTATTAACATAATAAGGTAAATTACCGGTAAAATCCGAAAAGCTTGCTAGTTGATAAATACTTCTCAAATCCGTAGCAGGAAGATAAAGGTATTGTAACGTGTTTGGTAATTTTTTTAACCAATTTGCTAATGAAGAACGTATTTTCATAAGATCACTTAAAGGATTTGCTAAATGATGGCGCCAATCTTCACATGAAGGTTTAGAACTAGGAGAATAACCGAAAGTCCAAATACGTCCAAGAATATGAGAAAGTTCTACAAACGCTATAAAGTGATCCTTAACTAACTGAGAAAATGAAGCTAATTTTGGTAAAGGAACTCGATTGGCCACAAAATCGATCACAGGAGGTTTTGCTAAAAGGAATGAATGCCATCTAATGAAATTGACAACATTATATACTTTTATTGCTATATTTATATTTAAAGTATGACCTATATTAGATAAAATAATAAATACCTATCACGGATATATAAACAATAGTAAATTCTCTGCCTTTCTTCATTTTCACCAGGATCCAAAGAATCATCGATTACATCTATGCGTAACAGATGTGCCATTTGAACTATTTTTAAGATTGAATTAAATAATTTTAATAATTTTCAAAAATAATACATGTGTAAAATTCTTACACTGCATAAAATTAAAAGTAACTACTTACTGGCCATGCCAAGAAACATGTAACCATTATCGAATCTTGATGGAACAAGTTCAGACATACTTAAAAGTAATAATGATTGTATAGTTTCCAATCTTGGAATATCATACATTGTATCCAATAATTTCTACAATAAAATATAATATATTTTTGATAAGATACATAATTATGTGATCTAAAAAAGATATTATAGATATTATACATATGCAATAAGGAATAGTAAGGAATAGTTTACAAGAACTAGTAATAGTTATATCCTGGGCAGTTGGGTATAAGCGG